CACAGCTGGAGGATTCTCTGCATCTTGTGGTCTTCAAAGTATTTGAAGGCTTCAATATCTGAGATATAGGTGAGAGGATTATTCTGGTAGGGGTGGGTGAGATTCTGTGGCCTGCGTTGTGCAGGGGGTCAGACTAGATGATCATAATGGTCCCTTCTGACCTTAAAGTCTATGAGTCTATGAGTCTGACAGAGTCACTCTTCTGACCTCAACAACATGGCAAGATATGTAAGGCATTCATACTGTAAAGCATAATCTGCCTGTAGGGGGAGGTATTTGCAGTGCTAGTGATGGTATGGATTCAGTGGACATAGGCTAAAAAGATAGCTTGGGTTGGCTTTGGTTTTAGACGAACACAAAATTATTGTTAGTTCAGATCTGGGCTCTTTTCCCTTCCTGAGTGGCCTTTTTTTTGTAAAAACTTTCGAAACTGCATCTAGACTGCTGCCGTGTTCTTTCAAAAGTAAATCAAAAGACTGCGGCAGTTTTTTCGACTGCGGAAAACCTCATTTTACGAGAAAGGGCGCCTTTTTTCGAAAGCACTCTTTCGAAAAAAGGCGCTATGTAATGCAAACTGTGCTTTTTTGAAAGAGAGCATCCAGGCTTCCTAGGTGCTTTCTTTTGAAAAAGATGCTTGCTTTTTCGAAAGTACTGGTTGTAATCTAAACACTCTTTTTTGAAAGAGGCTTTTTCGAAAGACGCTTGCAGTCTAGATGTAGCCTTTTTGGCCTGCTGTTTTTGGTAAGGTGTCTGTTTTGTGTGTAGTTTTCAGGAGTATTGCTAAACAGCATGCTATCACAGCAAAGTCTAGGTCTTCTAGACATTTGACAGCTACTCATATTGTGCCAATACTTGTGTTGCTAATACACATCTTCAATATCCAGTCTATAGGAGTGTCAAACAACTGCAGAGAAAGAATACAGCCTAATTTCATTTGTGTGTGCACATTAAATCACTTTGATGTCTTGTTCACTCTTACAGCTCACTTTGCATCACTGTACATACACTTGATGAAGCTTTCAGTTGGAATTCTGCAAGGTGGAGTAATATATGCTGATGCAAGCTGTCAAATGCCTTTTAAAAATCCATTAAATGTGAGAATAAGCCTGCCATTTGATACATCCTTCTAGGATGGTCTTTTTGTTAATATCTAGTCTATGCAGGATCTCTTGGGCCTGAATCCAGCCTGTTCTTCCCTAGATTTTCCATCCATTGCCTCTCTCACCCTGTGTATTATCACACTATAGGGGTATGTCTACACTGCCACCCTACTTCAAACTAGGGTGGCTAATGTAGGCATTTGAACTTGCAAATGAAGCCCGGGATTTAAATATCCCGGGCTTTATTTGTATGTTCCCAGGCGTTGCCATTTTAAAATGCCCTATAATTTGAATTACCTGCCCCGTAGTTCCTCCTGCAGGGAGGTTTAATGGTAATTCGAATTAGGAGCTTTAATTCGAACTACCTAGTCCATGCCACGTGTAACCGTGGACAGGTAGTTCGAACTACCGGGCATTTAAAAATGGCGGCGCCCGGGAACATGCAAATAAAGCCCGGGATATTTAAATCCCGGGCTTCATTTGCAAGTTCAAATGCCTACGTTAGCCGGCAATGTAGATGTACCCTAGATGACTTTCACTACAACCAAGAACAGTGTGACACTTCTCCAGTAGCTGCAGTTACTCTTTGGATATTCTGACAATTATTCCAAGCATCCACTGTTTCATTTGAATGGTATGTGAAGTACTCTTAGCCTTTCTGCTGTGATGTGATCATCTCTTGATGTGTTTTTTTTCATGTTTTTAACTGCAGCCTGTACTTTTGACATCTCTGTTTGAGTGATGTTGGTCAGGTTCATGTATTTCATCACACTAGGTGCTGAGCTAGGACTGGGTCTATTGAGAACTTTGAAATGCTCTGCCCATTTGTTGTTCTATTCTACCTCAGTTGTAAGCATATTTTCTGTTTCCACACAGGTTTTAGTCAATTGGTAAACAGTATGGTGATTTCACTACAATCAGAGTAGCAGCTTCATCTGCCAGTTCTTCAACCTATCTCTGTTTATCTTTTTCTTGCTTTTCACTGCTTTGTCTGCTTTGTTGTACTCTTCATTTGTATTTTCCAATATTCCATTGGTGTTAACATTGAAGAATTTTCCACTGAGCGCTTGTCTTTTCTCAAGAAGACACCACATCTCTTGGCTTATCCAGTTCTTCTTGCTCTGTTTATATCAATATCCAGCTATGTCTGCTGCAACTTGAGTCTCATTGTCTCTGAACTCGGCCCATTTTTCTTCAGGTCCAGTAGGTGCCTTACCTTGTTGTGTCTCTGCCAGTGCCACAGTTTTGTTCCTTAGTTCAAGATGGAATTTCTCCCTTTTGTACTGTTTTGGTTTTTTTTTCAGCTCCATGCTTTTGATTTTCTTGGCTGCTTCCTGTTTTAAACCTCTGTTTTAATTTCATTTTGGTAATGCAAAGATTCCGGTCACTAAGCCTTTCCATCTTGGACAGATGACCTGCCATTTGAGTGGAGGCAGATGTAACCCGTCTGTTTTTTGTTTGTTTGTTTGTTTGTTTGTTTGTTTGTTTTGCCATCTGGTGAATCATAGAATCATAGAATCGTATGGCTGGAAGAGACCTCAGGAGGTCATCGAATCCAGCCCCATGCCCAAAGCAGGACCAACCCCAACCAAACCGTCCCAGCCAGGGCTTTATCAAGCCAGTCAAAACTTCTAGAGATGGAGAAGTACCTCCTCAGGTAACCCATTCCAGTACTTCAGCACCCCCCTAGTGAAATAGTTTTTCCTAATATCCAGCCTAGATCTTCTCCACTGTAACTTGAGACCATTGCTCCTTGTTCTGCCAACCCTCACTACCGAGAACAGCCTCTCTCCATCCTCTTTGGAATGCAATGGTTGTTTATGTATGTCGTTATGAGAGAACAGGGTGCTTGGACACCAACCACAATTTAGTGAGACTCTGGCCATTCTGGTTAATTATCTCTAATTGGGTCTTCTTCATTGCTCTTACCCTTCTGTGGTTATCATATTCTTCATTACATTAAAATCCCTTATCACGAGGAGTAAATCCTGTTTTGGTATTCTTTGTAGTCATATATGTCAACATATATCACTATGGGTGCGTCTACTCAGCACCCTGAAGTTGAAATAAGATACGCAATTTGCACTATATAAATTGTGTATCTTATTTCGATTCTATTTCAATATAGCTGTTTTGAAATTTGGCGCATCTACACAGTGCCAAATTTTGAAATAATGCCCTATTTTGATACATCCCTTAACCCTCATGGAATGAGGCTTATAAGGATGCCGAAACATCCTTTATGATTGACATTGTTAGGACTGGTTTGGAATGTGATGAATAGTGGTTGGTTAATAGCTATTCAGTTTATAAGTGTTTTTCTCATATAATCTGTCATCATGAGCATTATTTCCTTTGAGCGTATGTTGGCCACTATGACTTGAATCAATGAGATGTTTCTTCTCTTGCTTGAAGCGTTTCTATCATTCTGCTGTCACTGATGCCCAGGATTTCAAGTCTGTAATTGTCCATCTCCCTCATGACCTGCAAGATCTTTGCTGGTTGAAATATTATTCTCACATTCTCATACTGATTTTGAAATGTTTTCTTGCTGCCAGCATCAAAGTTTTCAGGATCGTGGTTTCCAGAGACTGGTTTTCACTAGGAACTTTAATGCAACATGTGGAGTTGGTAGTATTCTCTGCTGAGCAGTCATTTTTAATACAATGGTAGCCTGGTTTCATTTCCAGAATATAAATGAGAGAAGGTTTTTGTGTTTTATAAGGCTATCTGGGACAAACGACCACATCAAAGTGCAGCAGGCAAGATTAACTGTAACAGTGGTGCATGCAAATTAGGTGTATAATTACATGCATCTTTTGTGTATGACAGTAGGCTTCTCCGCCTTTTGTTAAACTGGTAAAGCCCATTAATCAATCAGTCCCTTATGTTCTCTTACACAGCAGCAGAAGAAAAATTGCTAATATGTTATCTTTGTAACCTCATAACAGTTACTTAGGCTATGTCTACACTTGGAAGGTTTGACAACAAAAGTGCTGTCAACGTGTAAAAGTCAGCAAAAGTGAAAACTAGTCAAACTGTTCTTCTGCCTTCCATTGTAGACATTTGATGGCCACATGGCTATTTCCTCTATCAATAGATAGAGCAAAGCAATGTGGGTAAGCATTCCACAGGGCAATGTTGTGGGAAAGCAGAGCTTCTTAGGATACTTTCTGAGTTTTCCCATAACAGTCTCAGCTGCTGGGAGCAGCATCATGAATAGCTCTGTGAGCTCTTCATGCTGAGGAATGTCAATGCAGAACAACAGTCTCTCCATACCTCCCCCTGCAGTGGCAGTCTGCCTGTTATGTGTTCCTAGCAGGTCAGAATAGGAGCATTCCAATTATTTGCTCTTTTTGTTTGTTTCCCAAATGGAGCAGCTCACTCAGATATCAGATACTTCCCAGAACTTTGAAAGCGGAGCAGTGCATGCCTACAGTGCAGCAGAGATCACAAAATGCTGAGCACAGCCATCAGAGCAGGCATTGTGGGATATTGGCAGAAGCCAGTTCTCTTGACAAACCAAACAACAGAGTCCACACTGGCTCTTTGTTGACAATAAAGGGAAGGGAAAACAACAACAATCTCTCACGAAGTGGAAGTTTTTTGTTGCCAAAACTGGGTATTTTTCCTGACAAAACTTGCATTGTAATGTGTATGCTCTCACTGTTTTGTCAACTGTTTTGGTGACAAAACATGCTGTCATAGATAAGGCCTAAGTGGAACAACTGTCCACAAGCTGACTAATGCAAAGTGTTTAATAGAAGAGGAAGAAGGTGCAAAAATTTTCAGAGATAACATATGAAGAACAGGCTACTTGACTTGACTTGACTTTACAAATTTGTTTGTTCTAAATGGACAAATAACAAAATACCCTGACAATCTCCTCTTTTTTTTCAGGAGACCAAAATAAATTGTATCCGACTGGCAACAAAAGGTATGTGAGACTCTTCCTCCTGGCTGCAAGCTTACTACTGATACAATGCAAGCACAATGGTGACACAAGTTACAGTTATCATTTAAATAGTGGGCCTCATTTAAAGTGCATGTGACTCATCCAGGCAAAATATGAGTTTCCAAAACCACCTTCTTTTATGTATTGTCTGACTGAGTTAGTCTCCTAAAATAGTAGAGTAGCTGCAGCAGCACAATGGCTTAGACTTGGTATGTACTTAGGTGGCTAGCCCTAGTTGCTACTCCTATGCTATGACTGAACTGCTGTTGTTAGAGTTCTAACTAAATCAAAGCTAGCAAGTGTAGATCTTCCCAGCTCTTTGTTTGATGTAACCACAGAGTCACGTGGAGTGGATGGGTTACTCTGCCAACAAAGGAATCAGTAAATGAAAGTATTTGTAGCAAAAGTAGAGGAGTCACTGGAAAACAATTTCCTCCGCACACACAAATCCTCTATCTGAGCACCCCTACAAAGGATAGGTTGCTAACTCTGGGATCTCTCACAAGTGTTATTGCATCTTCTGAACTTTAGGCCAGATATTTTTCTCGATTACAGGCAGTCCCCGGGTTACGTACAGGATAGGGACTGTAGGTTTGTTCTTAAGTTGAATTTGTATGTAAGTCGGAACTGGTACATATTGTAGAGGAAACTCTAGCCAAACATTTCTCCAGAGCTCAGTTTTATTCTCCCACACCTCACTTCCCTCAGTCCTTTATTCTCAAGCTGAGGTGACTGCTGAGAAAAGCCGCTCCGCGTCTCCCTGGTCTGCTGGGGGGAATCAGCTAGTGCGGGGTTGCCTCACTCCGTTTGTAAGTAGGGATCCGATGTAAGTCAGATCCATGTAACCCGGGGACTGCCTGTATACTGTTGTAATCTGAAGTAACTCCATTAATGTCTGTGGAGTTACTCCTGATTTAAATCAGTGAAATTAGCAGCAGAATTTAACCCTCTATTTTTCATTGCACTGCCCTTTTCTTATTGCTGGTTTTCCTTGGAACATTGAAAAAAAGTCTCTGCTGATTCCTTCCAATTTATTGCCTCTTGTCACTTCTGCTACTGCACTCTCCTGGAGGTAAGAAGCACCATGGAACCTTGAAGCACCAGCTGACAGCTTCCCATTAGCAGAAGAGGATACTTCCACATGGGAACAGGCCATCTACCACATCTAGAGCCATTTGCAATTCACGAAGGATATCTGGAGATCGGATAAGTCTGGCAATAACTGGGGTGGTAAATAACTTGTGTCACCATTGTAAATCCAAAGAGGATGAGCCATCTCCCCCTCCTTTGCTTATGGCTCTACTGCTGTTAAATGTCCCTTAACCCTTTTTATTGTTTTCCTCTTTAGAGGTTCTTCATCCAACCGTCATTGTAATTACTATCTCTGAGTTCCAAACTTTCTATGTCTCCAAATCTCGTTTGCCTCCCCCATCACTTTATCTGAACCTTGAATTACACTTTCATTTCAGATACATTCTCTTGGCTTTCTGGTGGTAAAAGAAAGTTTGGATGAGAGAGGGCAATAGGGACAGATAAAGGGTAGAACAAGAAGTTACACATACTTTGCCCAAAATGTGACTTCAGTGTCTTCTAAGATTTATAAAAGTCTGAATAAATTAATTTTTTAAAAACAACAAGGAGAACCCACTTTTTACCCATGAAAGCTTATGCCCTAATAAATCTGTTAGTCTCTAAGGGTAGGTCTACACTAGCTCGTTAATTTGAGGTAAATAGGCAAATGAGGCGACCGGAGTTACAAATGAAGCCTGGGATATTTAAATATCCCAGGCATTATTTGCATGTTCCCATCCAGTCGCCATTTTGAAATTTCACTAGCCTGAACTCACTGCCGCGTGGCTACATGCAGCAGTGAAACGTTAATTAGAACTAAGTCTTTAGTTCGAATTACTGATTCACTGCCATGGGTAGCCGCGCAGGTACGCACAGCAGTGAAACATTAATTTGAACTAAGCCTTTAGTTCGAATTAACGTTTCACTGCCGCGGGTAGCCACACGGCAGTAAGTTCAGGCTAGTGAAGTTTCAAAATGGCGACCGGACGGGAACATGCAAATAAAGCCCGGGATATTTAAATCCCGGGCTTCATTTGCAACTCCGGTAGCCTCATTTGCCTACCTAACTCGAATTAATGAGCTAGGGTAGACATACTCTAAGGTGCCACAGGTCTCCTCATTGTTTTTGCAGATACAGACTAACATAGCTACAGGTCTGAGACTTTCGTTTTTCAAAAGCCACAGTTACGTTTTTTCACCTCTGGAGTTCCTAGTTCTGGGACTGGGTGTGGGAGAGCTGCATTACTGTATTTATTGTCCAGACAAATGCAGGAAGTACTATTTTGCAAAAAAGCAGGAAGTCCTGTTCTTGTAACGTCTCTTGGTTAGGGAGGTGTGTTTAGGTTTGGATAGTTTGCTATAGGTTTAAATAAGCATTTGAACTTTGAAATGATTTTCCAGATTCATCTTATCTAATTATCCCTTTTAGGATGAGAACTCTCAGATGAGCTGCATTAATAATAGACATAATAGGGATGGGTAGGGTCTCACAAGCCACTTAGAATCATTGTCTCATGGTAATCATGGTGTTCAGCATTGTTCTTAGCTGGCAAGAATGAAAAAGATCAGGAGTTTGCTGTATAGGGCAGCAAATACATTCTCGTGCGTGTGAGAGAGAATGCTCATTCGCTTGCAGGTGACATTACTTTTGATTAACAGGGAAGTTTCTGTATCTTGAGGCTTGAGCTTTGGGTTGGGATTTTTTTTGGTAATTTGCTTTTCATTTTTGTTCATGTACTTTTCCATATGTGGGTCCTTCTTTTTTCCTTTGATGTGGTGTGGGGATGGGGAGATGAAATGAGCTGTACATAAAGTAGAGCACGGGAATAAATATGAGATTCCTATGAGGTAACTTTATGCCATACTACTCTGGCATATCTATAGATACATAGTTGACTAGGACACTCCAGGATTATGTTGCAGCATCAATGGATTAGTATTTCCAATGACACATTTGTTTATGTCTACAAATGGCACTTTTGCAGATAGCAGGAGAAAAAGGGGATTGCTCAGTGTGAGGAGTTGAACATATAGAAAAATATATCCGTTCTGTGCTTTAGAATCTGTCTGTGGTTTCTGGTACCCAAATGTCAGGAGATTGTTTCTCCTCCTGGTATTAAATCTTTACAAGTCTATAGAGCCATGCTGCTGTACAGCCTGGTGTAAGAAAAGAGGCACACACCATGTTTGTAAATATGTTGCACATCTCTGCTACTAGAGCAATTGCCAGGTGTATTTGCATAATTATAATTAGATTGTCACTATGGTAAAAAATATACTCTTAGAATGGCTCCATCTTACCCAGCATATCCCATTGTATCTTGAGCATTATCAGCAAAGCTGGCACTAAAGTGTGACTACAGTGTCTTTATAGAAAGTGTTATCAGGTGCAGAAAGCATAAGCTTTCAGATTCCTAGCTGTCTTGACAGCACTGGCAATTAGAAAGTTCACCTTTGATAAGGGCCACAGAATGACCAGTTTGTTTGGGAGCTGGTAAGAGAATAGATGTGGAACTCCTTAGTGTCCTTTTATGAACTCCCTTTTCTTTCTTACATATATTTTACCCCAGAGAAATTCCATCAGCTTCAGTTGAGTTACTCCTGATTTACACTGGTGAAAGTGAGGTTAGAATCAAGACCATTAACTGTGCTTAAGTCTGCCAGATAGTCTCTTAAACTGTCATTAACAGGGGCAGTAAATTTGAATGTGAGAATAATTAAACAATAAGACTTGTCAGGTAGTGTGTTACCGGGAGATTATAGCACATTATAGCCAAAAGGCTCCGGATCAAAAGCCAAGTACAGGCAGTGCCCGGCTTACATCGGATCCCTACTTACAAACGGGGTGAGGCAACCCCGCACTAGCTGCTTCCCCCCATCAGACCAGGGAGACGCAGAGCGGCTTTTCTCAGCAGACACCTCAGCTTGAGAATAAAGGACTGAGAGAAGTGAGGTGTGGGAGAATAAAACTGAGCTCTGGAGAAATGTTTGGCTAGAGTTTCCCCTACAATATGTACCAGTTCCGACTTACATACAAATTCAACTTAAGAACAAACCTACAGTCCCTATCTTGTACGTAACCCGGGGACTGCCTGTATCTTTAATTACTTGAGAGGTTCAACAAACCATTCTGTTGTCATTGTTCCAGCAGAACAGGGAAGACATTTGTCTTTAACTTCAATTCTCTCAGAAAATGAGACACCCCTTCTTAAATTGCTTAAGTTTAATGAATAAATAATGAAAGCCAAGTGTTTCATAGCAGACTAGTTTGCCCGAGTCCTGTTGTGGTGTCATTGAAATTTCTTGTTTAGCATGAAGTTTCAGACTGGCCCTTCATTTTCATTTCAGTTAAGCTCTGTTCATGGACTCCTTACTTGGAAATAAGGAATTACCTATAGCACTAACTACTATTGGGCAAGGTCATCTTGTGAAGGCACAGGGGAGGGGAGGTCCAGCCTTTCGCCGTCTCACACACATGCTTTGTTCTGCAGCCTGCTTTTCCTAAATGTACCCAGTGCTCCTTTTGAGAGAAATTGACCTCAAAAAGAGGTTCAGAACAAGGCTGGTGGACCCTTCATGCCCCCAAATGACTTAGTGGGACTTAAGTGGTGAAGAGGTTTTATGGTAACTTGCTGCTTTGGGATCAGTTTCACCAGCACACTCTCCAAGATACAACCAGTGGAATTCTGCTTTGTAAGGCAGAAATTCTAAAGTGCAACTACCAGCGTCCTGTCTCCTACTCGTAGCACTGTCCAGGGCAAGATCTGGCTCATCAAAATAACTAATTGGGGAGAGGGGAGGTTAGATGAGCGGTGGGCAAATACCAGCCCACTGACAGGATCCGGTCTGCCAGAGTTAGCCCCTGGTGGGCCCCTATACCACAGTATTTACCTGCATCTCTGAAGGTATAG